TAACCACCCCAGCGATGGTCGTATTCTGAGCGTTAGGTCCCAAGTGCTGGGCTATTGTTCACACAGAACGGAAGCCGCACCAGAACAGGGACCTTGTCTGTCTGGTTCACTGCTGCTCACCCACTGCCTGGCGCACGGTAGGTGCCGGTGCATATATTTTAAGTGGATGGACACCTCATCTCCGTCTGTCTTCACAGCCGCCCTGTGAGGTAGGTGCGATCATTGGCCCAAGGCACAGATGAGGCCCCGGGGGCCCAGTACAGGGCGATGACAGAGGCGGGCCGTGCAATTACACACCAGGTCCCCGAGTCAAGCTTTCTCGGTTTGGATCTTACTTTCTCCACTTAATAGTCTCCTTTCACTTAACTTTTCTAGGCTACAGTTTCCTCGCTGCGAAAAGAGGACATTAGTGGAAGCTCCTTTGAGGGGCCATTTAGGATATAAGTGAGACGATGCATGTATGGAATTCAGGCCAGCACCTGGCACATAGTAGGTCCTCAGCAAGTGTTAGTTACTGCTGTTGCCCAGGGCTTCCCAGGGAGACAAGGTCAGACACAAGGTCAAGAACTCCAGAGTATCGAGATCCACCTCCAAGTCTTCATCACTACCCTCTACTGCCTCCTCCTGTAGAGAGATTTCACAAGACCCTCTTTTACGGACCCCAAGTTCTGCTTTTCCCCCTTTTTGATTTTTGTTGTGGCGTGTGTGTGGTTTTGTTGGCAGGGAGCTGTGGCCACTGCTGGCCCAGGCTGGAGGCGGAAGGGGGAGAGACGGGGCCTGCTCCTCGGCTTGGTCCAGCTGCAGTCTGGATCGGCCTCTCCCTCCGGGGCTCCCTCCCTGATAACTGCACCAGGGAAGGGGCGTGGCCAGACCTCGGGGCCGCCGCCCCCTTGGTCATGCAGCTGTCAGTCCTCTGGTTGTCAGACTAAGCTTCCGAGGCACAAGCCATGATTCACACCAGCTCCCCTTCCTCCCAATTGGGCTACTGACCAAGTCAATTCCCCTCTCTGAATCTTGGTTTTTCCATCTGAAAAATAGTGACAATAATTGTATCTAGCCCAAATAAGGGGGAAAAAACTGTGTGAAGTGTGTGACAGTGCCTGGCACCCAGTGGTATTTCCCCCTCCCTCTATCACCATTCCTCTCAGTTTGGTGAACTCCTACCGACCCTTCAGAGCCCAGCTCAAATGTTCCTTTGTTTGTGAAGCCCTCTCAGACACCAAGACAACACTGCCTGGTCCTCCTTCTGTGGTCCTACTACACACTGTATCAGCTCCCACCCCTATTGGGGGGATATTCAAACAATTCAACAACTAGTTGAGTGTGGGCCCCTTCCGAAGGTGGCCCACTGAAGGTGGCTGCCAGGTATCTCTCTCCAGTTGCTGGCTGTGAGAAGGTCCAGGAGGTACCAGGGGAGAAAAGAGGTGGCTTTGCTGACTGAGGGAGGGGCGGGGTGGTGACAGGCTCTGTTTATCAACTGCTGTGCAAATATTTGAATATTCCGACAGCGGAGGACACACTGGCACTCACCGACTCAGTCTCAGCCCCGAGAACAACACTTATCTAACTGTGGTGCAGCTGGCTGCTGACTGCTAGACTGTGAGCTCTGGAGTTCAGGAGGTGGATTTTATTCGCCTCCCTGTCTCCCTAATGCCTGGAACAGAGATGGCTGAGTGGAGATGAGGAGCATGAGTGAGGCTGTGAAGGGTCCCTAAATTGCCTCCTTGGGACCCTCCATTTGGATTTGGGCTCAGGCCCAGCAAGAGGGCTTCAGGTTATCTTTAGCTCACCAAGTAGGATTTCAATAAGACAAGACCCCAGATTTGCATATTCATGCATGCAAATGTACCCCTCGATGTGATACACCATTCTCGATTTTTTTTTTTAAAGAGCCGTGCATAGGAAATGCCTACAGTGGAGTGTGGCGGGAAGCATGGCGGAGAAGGCCCTTCGCGCTCAGGTTCCTGCCAATCCCCCACACCCCCCCTCTTGTCCTGGGCTTCTGTCTCCATCCCGACTCCAGTCTCCGTTGCCTGCTTCCTTCAGTGAGAACTCCCACTGCTGTCGGCCCCTCAGCTAGCTGGTGCCTTCTCTGTCTGAAGCTAGCCCCAGTCCTCATTCCTGTTCCTGGGGCTTGCCTTCGACCCCATCGCGGCCTCTCTGTATTCACGTTGCCTACTACTGTCTGACACAGTTTTTACCTGTCTGACTCCTTTTTAAGGACACACAGACTACCCCTCATTCTCAGGATGCCTCGGAGCTGAGCCTTTGTAGTTGTAACCCAGCAGACAGCCGGTCGGTCGGAACGGATGCCCGAATGGGTGGATCAATGACTCTGCTGTTCTTTCCAACAGAGAGCTCAGGGGACATCTCGGGGCCAGGACTCAGAGAAACCTTTGGTCCCACCTGACACCTTCTTTCGTCTCTGCCTTTGCAGGAGAGCGGATGAGAAAGGCTCTGGTGTGGAGGGGACTCAGAGGGCCAGGACTGGGGAGCACCCAACATCCCCAGAAGCCAGGCAGCCACGAGTCAGGTGGGGCCAGCTCTGTGGGCTACAGCCGCCTTCTAGGATAGCAGGGGAAGCAGGGCCCCGGCTCTAAGTCCCGACTCATTCACTAGTCTGCGCCCAGAGTCGCACCAATGTTGTTATTACCACCATTGCTACTGCTGCTACTGTTGCCACGGTTATTTCTGTTTCCACTGTTGCTACTATATCATCAGCATCACCCATCCCAGCATGTACCACTCGCCTGTCTCAGTCTAAACTGTTTCCCTGCCTTGAGTCATACCTCTGGAGAGGTGGGTCTCATCAGTATCTGCGTTCTGCAGACCTGGAGGAAACTGAGGCACAGCATGTTTGTGTGACTTGCTCAGGGCTCCTCGGCGGGTAAGGACAGAGGCAGACTCTGTGAGGCTGCCGTCACAACACCTGCTGGTGTTTGCCGAGTTCTGCCGCTGTGCCAAGGCGGCATCAGCGGTTTAAAACATTCCTTTGCTTTTGTCCTAACAACAAGGCTTTTGAAGAAGAGATTTCTCTCATCCTCACGACCTCTTTTTAACAAAGGAAGAAACCATGGCTCAGAAATGCTTAAGCACCTATCCCTCGCTCACAGCCAGGACTTGAGTGCACGGTCAGAACCCCACGGTTTGTTTTTCCCAACACCAACCTGTCTCAGCCCACGGGAATCACTGATCTCCTGTCTGATTCTTTTCTTGGAATCAGGAGGTTGAGTTAGATGGGCTCTGGTGGTCCCTGCCTTCTAAGTGGGGATGAGCTTGTAGCTCTTCCGATGAGGGCTGGGGCCCCCAGGGGACTGCCTGGCTTGAAGAACCAACAGCCAATCCAGTACCTCACTTAGCTGGTGTGGGAGGACACTTTTATTTTTATTTTTTGGCAGTACTTCATAGCCCTGCCCTGTTGGGAAACCGTCCTGGGCAGGTGAGAAAACAAGAGCCGGTTGCTCCCAATGGCAATTTTTAATGACGGTCACTTGGGGCCACCGAATGGGCTGCCACAAATACCTCTACCAGGGAGACTAGGTAGCTTCCGCTGACTTAAGCATCATTCTTCCACCTCTTACCACTCGCCTTTTAAATTCATTTCTACCTTTGCAACAGTTCCTCTGGGGGACAAGTGAGGTACGCCTGCCTGTTCTCCAGGTGGGAGAGCTGAGGCTGGGAGGGACAAAAGGAATCGAGGGGGCCAAAACCCAAACCCCGCCTCCAAATCACTGCCACACTGGAGAGACCCTTCAGGAGACCTGTGGGGCGGGGAGACTGCAGGGGGGTATTCCCACCTGCAAACACTCAATACCGCAGGCATTTCTACAAAGGGGGGGCCTGGGGAGAGCTGCGGGCCATTTCCAGCGAGGCCGAGGACCTCGGCCAAATCGGACTTGGTGACTTAGGGTGCCGTGACTGGGCACAATGAGTTTCAGGATGCACGACAGACCCTAAGTACTGTGTCCACCAGGCCCAGCAAGGGTCTGTCACCGCCTGCCCCTCCTGGCAAGCAACTCTGAGCGCTTCCTTTCTACCCCCTCATGCTTTTTAAGGGAGAAGCTCCCCAGAACTTTCAGATTTGCTCGCAGCTGGAGGAGTCAGGTCCCCTCCTAGCTGGCGGTCACAACTGTAGGCCACATCAAAGTTCAACGTCCTCATCTGTCTCTCTGTCCCTTTAGCGTCTACAAAAGACCATTATATACTATATCTTATTTATTGTATTATCACCAACTACCCTATAGGGAAGTGGTCCTATTTCAACTTCACTGATGAGAAAACTGAGTTTCAACAAGGTTAAGTGACTTTCCCAAAGCCACGCAGCTAGAAGTGGCAGCGCTGGGACCTGCGTTCAGACCCAGCTCTACACCCTTGCCCGGAAGCGCCGCGGTGCGGTGCCCGCCCGGCTGAGGTCCCGCTGCAGCCCCGCCCTGCCGCACGGAGGGAGCGCGGCGGGGGTCCGTCTGCTTTTGCTTTGCCCTGCAGTCTTTACACAGACCTTGGCTTTGGCTTTTCTGCCCCTGAGACCTCGGTGCACCTGCGAGAGGACACAGGTCCTGTACATTCAAGGTCATATTGACACAGACGACATCAGGCCCCCGCTGTCCCTCCATGCTGCTGGCTAGCTGGCATCCAAGATGTGGGCTTCATGGAAAAACTGGGGCTCCCTGGGACCCTTCCCCGAGAAACCTCCTACAGCGCCTCACACAGACATTCCTGAAGATGCAGTTTTCGACACCCCTCCCCCCCCAGTAAAAAAACTGGGTGTTTTCACTTGTCTGCCCGCCCACCCCTGCCCCAGATCCACAAGCCGAGTGCTGCCAAAGGCTGGCGAAGGACCATCTGGTTAATTAACAATGAGGTCTGAAACCAGTGGGGTCCTTGCCTGAAACCAGATTAAAATGTGTCGTCCGCTGCCCTGAACTGGTGCCTTCCTTCGCCCCCCGCCCCCACCAGTGTCGTGGCCGAGACCGGCCGAGGAAGCTGTGAGCAGTACTTACTACACCGCTGGCCGGCAGGAGGCTGAGCATCTGGAGGGGCTGGCTGGGTGGGGGGCCGGACCGGGCCTCGGGGCTGGCCTTGCCGAGGGTCTTGGAGCAGCGGCGGGAGTGCCTTTGGCGAGACTTCCGCCCTTCCTCGGGGGACCGGCCGCGGTGCCTGGGTCAGGGGAGAGACACCTGAGGGTCTGTCGAGGGAGGGGAGCTTGGCAGAGAGGCGGTGGAGGGACCCCTGGGATCTGAGGACCGTAGAGTATCCACCCACCCCCAACCCGGCTGCCCGTTCATTTGTTCGTTAACTCCTTCCCTCATCGCCTCATATGTTCACCTGACGGATGTGGATTCACGCCCCTGACACCGTTTCTGGGGGCTGGGAGTGCGGCTGTGAAGGCAGAGGAGTCCCTGCCTGGGCCCGGTCTCCTACCCTCTGCTCACCTGTGTGGGCGTCTCTGCCTCTGTCTGTGACTGGGTGTGGCCACCTGTGTTTCCCGTGTTTGTCTATAAATGTACGTGTGGACCCTCGTGTGTCTTTGTGTATGTGGAGTCGCCATCTGTGTGACAGAAGCATCTTATTGACTGTCACCCAAAACTTTCAGGGAAAAAAAAATAGCTGGGAAAGATGACAGAGACGCCTCCTCCAAGCTGGTCAGACCTAGAGCCGGCCCACCGCTTGCCATTAAAACCAGAGGGGTCTCCAAGTCTTCCAAAGGGGACGTGTGCACTCCGAGTGGCCCCCTGGCTCTGAGCCGCAGCAGACGACAAGCAGCCTTTGCCGACTGGCCCAGTGCTCGTGCACCCCCAGGGTTTCCCAGGTTGCCCTGCAGCCTGGAGACAGGCGGGACGGGGCGGGCACTGCTTTCCCATTGTACTGATGAGGAAGCTGAGGCTCTGAGACCTGTAGGGGCCTGCCTGAGGTCACAAAGCTTGGAAGTCGCAGAACCAGGGTCAGGGCCGAGGCCGCCAGCCCTGTAGGGACCGAGGTCTCTGGTCCTGGCCAGGCGTGGAGTCCCAAGAGCAGCGCCCAGGCTATTGCCGTGACTGCTGGAGTGTCCCTCAGCTCAACAGGCCCTGGGGAGGCCCAGCAGAGGTGACAGCAAGGGGGGCTGCAGCTGGGCCTGCGATGGCAGCCTCTGCCCTAAGGGGTGGGCGGGAAGGTTTGGGCTGAGCCACACAGACCTGGGTGCCTGTGCCCACTTGGCCAGTCCCTGTGACCTTGCTCAGACCCCTTCGCCCACCAACACGCAGGCTTCCCACTGCGGCAAGTCCCTGACGCAGTTGAGCCCAGGGCGCCCGTGCCCACCGGGAGCACCTCTGTAGCCGCACAAACGTGGGCGTTGCTCCTTGTGCTGGTGGAGACCGCACGCCCCGAGGGAGCAGAGGGCGTCTGCGCAGGGTTGGAAGGCACCCGCTGTGGGCGTGTGGTGGGTGACTCCGGGGAGCGGGGGCTCTGCTCCGGGTTGGGTGCCGTCGGAAAAGGGAGGTAATTCCGACGGGGCGTCTTCACAAACCTTGTCGGGGAAAAGGGGTGAGCGGCCCGAGGTCCCGGCTGTCCTTGCTAAAGCAGCAGTGGTCACTGATGTTAGTCCATGTCACTCAGTCCACGTCACTCGCGGACGAGTGCTGGGTCACCTGAGTGTTCTGGACAGAGTTCCTGTTTGGTCTGGGCTCACACTCAGGGCCAGGCACAGTGCAGGCCTGAGACAAATATTTCTCTTCCTCGCTCTGAGGTCACTGGGACCAGGACCGTGACATGAACACGGAGCCATGTGGGAGAAGCATTTCAGAAAAACAGAGTGGCCTCTGAGACCCATAGCTGGCCTGGCACTAGGAAGTGGGCCGTGGTGTCCCCGCAGCCCACCGACGATTTCAAACACGGGCACCAGCACAGCCCCGCTCCTCCTCCTCTTCCCGTCTCCAGAGAAGTCCCCTCCCCTGCTCGGCCTGAACGGCCAATGTGCCAGCACACAGGGCCCAGGTCAGGAGAAACGGGGCACGTCGTGCTGTGTGGCCTTTTGTAGGTTGCTCAGGGTCTCTGTGCTTCAAGCAACCCTCAGCGGGAGTGCCAAGTCCCAGCCGGACTCCCTGGCTTGATTCTGGCTCTGTCACTTGGTGAGGAGCAAGTTCCTGAACCGCTCTGTCCCTCGGTTTCCTCGCCTTTACGGTGGGAACCATCACAGGGCCTGTCTCCCACGGGAGGGCGCTGGCGCCTCAGTGCGGTCTCTCGGGCACTGGTGTGAGCAGCAGGTACTGTGGGTGCCTAAGCGGAGGTGATGAGTCCTTCTGTCTGCGCCTTCTCTTCCCAGGGAAGTGCCAAGGAGTGGGGCTGCCCCTCTGCTGGGAGAGTGGGCCCCCAACAGCCACGGAGGTGGGGGGAGGGGGCAGCACTGGTGACAGAGACTGGACCCTGGGTGGCGGCAGGGGTGAGGGCTTACCTGTTCTCACAGCTTGAGGACCGCGACTCTGAGCTCTGGGATCGCGAGGGGCAGTGGTGACGGCGGTGGCGGTGAGACTTTCGGGGCCGGCTTCGCGACCTTGGGGGTGGGGTGAGGAGAGAGTCAGAGGAGATTGATTGATGGATCGACTGATCGATTGGCTTTGATCTTGTGACACACACTGCCCTCTGTCACTGTCCCTCCCAAAGCTAAGTCTCTCCCCCCACCTCAGCCCCACATCCCCCGAGCTACCCACACGGGGACCCGGAGTCTTCAGCGAGCTGAACTGAACACGAGCGAGCAGAAAGGGGGTTCTCTGGATGACACAGCTTCCCACCCCGGACAGGAACGTCACCTCTGCCCGTCACCTCCTCCTCCCCTAAGGCGGAGCCTCGATTTCAGACAGTGTCATGCACCACGAGGTGTCCCTGAAGGCCATGGGCACAGAGAGGGGTGGCTTTGCTTCCAGAACGTGGGCATGGGGCTGGGTCTTCTAATTCTTCAAGCGAATATAGAAACACAGATATTTATGTAAAGGACTCCTATTGTAAATGGAAGCCCTTTTTGTTTGTTTTCTCAATGACACTGTTTGGGACAAACAAAACACATTTACAGAGTAAATTAGGCCCTTGAGCTGCCAATTTGTAATGTCGGACCTGGAAAATTAAGCCTAGATTCATAGCACGGGGTCAAAAGCCCAATTTCAGAATGAGTTACAAGCACCATCAACAACCCAAATTACAGTAATTATGACCACTGCCGCTACAAGTGGTATCTCTGCTGGTTACCTCAGAGCCACATAAACAATGACAACTCGGCAGCAGCAGGGGCGGCGGTCACCACGGAGGCACAGGGGCATCAGTGGCTGGCCGGGCCGGGAAGACCGGGGAGTTGGAGATGGCTCCATCAGGAGGCAGCTGCCTAGCTCAACAAAGGACTCTGGGATCCTTGCAACGTGATAATCAGGCCACTGCCCTCGTGTCAAGTCCAAAGTCTGACCTTGAAGCCCAAGCACCTTTGGGAGTCACGCCCGGTCTAGCTCTCCAGCCTCCTTGAGTGACAGGCACAAGCATCCCCAAAATGCCTTTATTCTGACGCCTGTGTTTCCCAGTTCAGGACGTCCTTGTGAAGGTGACAAGCATGACAAGCCACCTGTTCCTACCTAACACACCCTGCACGCCTGGCACCATGCTCCAAGCATTTTCCTTGAACGGACGCCTCCGCCCCTCACAACCACCTGCAGAGCGGGTCCTGCGGGATTCCCATCTCACGGATGCAGAAACCAAGGCACAGCGAGTCTACCGCACGTGCCTAGCCCACCACCTGGAAGAGTCCCACCTCCATCCTCACCCCCAGCCGAAAGGGTCCCTCCTGTGGAAAGGGCCTGCCCCCACCACACCCTCTCCCCAGCACCACGGCTCCGTCTGCACCTGGACTTCCTCGGCCACCGTGACACTGTGACGCACGTCCCACGTCTGGCTCCGGGCCCCACTGCACTGCGAGCTCCTTGAGGCCACGACAGTGACTGGCAAACCTCTGTCCTGGGCCCTGCACGGGGCCCACCATGCATCAGGGCGCCAGTAAGGGATGCTGAGTAAGAGGCAGCGAACTCACTCCAGGGGCCACTGGTTTAAAAGCAGCCCTGATGGGGGACTTGGCGAGAGTAGCTGCCCTTTTTCCCAGGGGTGCCCTGACTTTCTTGCTCTGGTCTTCGGCTCTCGCAGACTTTTTTGCATCCTGCTAGTGATTTTGGGGACTCTCCTAGCCCTTGGCTTGGAGGTGTGTGCACTGCAGCCCCTCTGGACGAGTGATGGTGTCGACTCAGGGAGCATGCGCTCTGTGTGTGCTTAGCATGACAGCACATGCAATCCTAGGACTGACGACTGCCTCTGGCTTGAATTGAACCAAGCTCGGTAACTGGGAAGTTCTCCCCTGAGCTAACCCAAAGCTCTGCTGCTTCCTTCTGGAGCTTTCCGCAGGCACGGGCGCCGTGGTGGGGTCTGACATGGCCTCCTCTGCACCGACTTTGAGTGAAGCGACCCCGTGGAGCCGCAAAGCTGGGCGCCCTCCCTCTGCACCCCTGCCCCTCCCTCCCCAGCAGGGGCTGCCTTTCATCCCATTGTCTTTGATCCTCACTTTAGAAGCTTCTTGGCAGGAGATAAATTATTAGTTGATTGGAAAACACTCGCACTAACATTTGCAGGGTATAAAGTAGGTGGGTTGTAACCAAATTTCCTTTAATTTGGCTGGGAACTGAACTCCGCAGGCAGTGCTGGCTGATTTGAATTTCTACAACCAGCTATAAACCGTGAACCAGCTGGGGCCCCCGGACAGGGCAGGCGCTTCACTGAAAGCCCCAGGCTCTAAGTCCCAGCACAGGGCTGGGACTCGTATGCACACTCACGCACCTGACCACTCCTCCTTAACTCCTGGTGCACGCACAGCACAAGTGTGTGCACAGGCAAAAGCCACCCACACCCTCTGAATGCATGATGTACACAGGCACAGGAGCAGGGCACGCTCACTGTGCACGCAGTTCATGCACAGCGACAGACAGCGCACACAAGCACAGTGTATGTGATGCATTCATGTGAACACAAACATATACTGCACACACTAGGTGCCCATGTTAAACACACTTGAACACACAGTTCACACAGATATTTGCACGATGAAAAAATGTACAGATGGTTATCAGCAATGTGCACACCATGCTCACGAGATACAGATAAATATACAACACACGCAGGAACACAGAACCCACACACAGAGGGTGTGCCGGGCACCCCGGATGCACACCCTTCACCCTCATGCGCACTCACACATCACACACGCACGCACGCTCAGACCCGCAGAGCCCGTCCACACACAGTGGCCGTTCCTGTCTCCCCTCTCTCCCACCCTCACATTCCTGTTCACTACGCAGCTCCAGCACTTTCCCCGGACTGGGGAGCACAGCCCAGAGGTCCCTACTTACTGTTTTTTGTGCCTCTTCTCTTCCTTTCTTTTGCTTTTTGGGCTGGAGGAGCTAAATGACAAATGAATGGCCAATTAATTGAAAGATGCAAAACTGCAGTTAAAGGTGAACATCAACAAGTAGCTAAAATGCCTAATACCCAGCGGCCACTAGGTCCGGCCAGCGTGGGAACCACCCCGTCCCCTGCAAGACCAGGGCAGTCGACGCCGACTCTCGCCGGTGGGCTCGGCTGGAGACGCCGACCCACGTGCCCAGACTGAGAATGTGGGACCGAAGGGGCCAGGGTCAGCTTGGGCAGCTTAAAAATAACCGTGGCAATGAAGGTAATAACAATGCCCGCCTCCCTGTGAGGCTTCACCACAGGGCATCCTGCTGAATCCTGACGGTCCGTCATCTCACTTTATTCTGCCCACCACCCACAGGAGAGGCACAGCCTAACGCGGGCCCACTTCACAGATGTGGAAACAGGCCCGCACAGGAGAGCGGGGCGGTGGCCCCAGACCGTGGTCCCCGGAGCCCATTCTCCTGACTGCTGTCCCATCAATTTCTAAGAGAAGGGAATGGAACTTTCAGGGCATACCCTGGAGACTTATGAAGCCGGGCAGGTTCTGAAATGTTCCGCCTGTGAATACCCAAGTACCCGGGTTTTATTGCTTTGTTTTTGGTCAGAGCGCTTGGGCTGCGGAGAGAATGGACGGTGCTGGCCCGAGGCCCCCAAGGATGAGTGCTAATTTGGCAATTGAAGTCAGATTGGCTTTAAGAAATCGCCACACACGCACTGGGCATGGGGCCTCGGTCCTGGGAACGGGAAACTGGTTTCTCCGAGTGAAATCGGACCTCGACGGTGGCTGCAGGACCGGTCCCCACACCTGAGACTCGGCCTGAGCCGTGGAAGGCCGGTGACATCAGGCAGGTCCGCTGTCTCGTTACAGACCCAGCTTCCCGGGCTGTGACACTGGGCTGCTGGGCTGAGTGAGTGGTGGCCTCGGTAATCGAGGCCTACTTGTCACCGAAGGAATGGAAGAGCCCTGCACTCTGCCGACGGCTCCCGTGTGGCTACTGACAAGGCCACGGCAGCCTGTCCTGACCCTCTGTCCGAGAGAGCTGGCTTTAAAGGCCGGCTCTGCCACCTTCGCACTGAGTGTCTGTGGGCATGCCTGCCCCACCGCCTGTGTGAGTCTTAGCTCCTTCATCTGTAAAATGGGAACAGTGAACACATCCATCCACCGCACAGAGTGAGGAGAATTACGGGGGTGAAATACGCACACACACGGAAAGCGCTGGAGCCAATACATTTGTGCTGGAAACCCAGGGTTTCCAGTGCAGTAGGACTTGGCCTCTGTCGCCGGGCCAGGGTCTGGGAGGGCTGTGGCAGGGTGGCTGGGGCTGACGTTCTTCCACAGGCCCCACCCCAGGGTTTCACTCAGCACTAAAACGCACAGACTCTGGCAAAGGTGGGAGATTTTCCGAGTCCCACCACCGGAGGTGCTGGTCTGGGAACCACCGTCTTGCCTGGTGGAAGTGGGAAGCTGACTGGGAACTTTCAGGAAAACCAGGTCAAGCCTTTGTTTGGGAGGAAACACACATGGGAAGCTGAAGGTGGGTGGTGCCCGAGAACTGGGGGTGGAGACTGGGATCTGAGCCTAGACAGCTGGCCCCTGGAGAAAGCAGAAAGCTGAAGCATGCAGCCGGGGGTGGCGAGATTCTCACCTGTGCCTTCTCTTCTTGGAGAATGACCTGATTGGGGGAGGGGGGAGGAGAGAGGGAGGGAAGAAAATAAACACAGGTGAGTTAGAGGTTTCTTTCCCTGGGATGAATGTTTCAGTGCATTTGTGGCCATGCGACATGGGGGTCCGGTGCCTAGCGGACCCTCCTCTTAGACTGCAAGGAATATGAAGACATTGGTCTGCCTTTGGAATTCCCAGGTCAAAACCTACCAGTGCTCAGCCCTTACCCCAAATGTCAGCGACCCCCTGTGATGGGGCCAGGTGAGGCTGGTGAGGGTGATGTAAGGGCGTCCTCTGCCTCCTTCCCTACCCCAGTCTCGCTTTCATCTGTCCCTCCCTGGCTGTGGACTCATTGTCACCATCACTTTGGTCAGCACAGGACAACCAGCTTCCCTGTGTGGGACTCCGACTGGGAGCCAGGCTCCACGCTGAGCATCTGTCACACACAATCTCCTTCCATCTTCCCCCAACTCCGGAAAGTACTATGAACACCCACTTTACAAAGATGCTGGAGTTCAGAGAAGTTAGCCGCAATGGCCAAGGTCACACAGCTTTCACTGCTGTAACCCCTCCTCACTCTTGGGAGCTCCTCTCAGACGTCACCTTTACCTTGTAGCAGTTTCTGGCCCCCCTGGGCTGCTCAGGTGCCTGCTCCCTGCTCCCACAAGCCTGGAGCTTAGCTTCACTCTGGTCTAGCCCTCTACCCATTTCCTCAACCCCAGTGCAAGTGACTTGAGGGCAGGGGCTGGGTTTTGGTCACTGTTCTGTTCCCAGGGGCCCAGAATCCTCATTCATGACACATAATAGGCATTCAACACACAGATTTAAAAATGGAATTTTTTTTAACCCTGAAGTCTTTTTAATTGAGAGGAGAAAAAAACCCTCCATCCATCCTCTACCCCTGGCTCCTATACTCCCCAAAAGTCAGACATCACTCACTGAACACTGTGAGATGGAGCAGCTGGGCCAGCGGGGGGTGGAGCTCATTGGGCAAAAGGGCTGGGGGAGCATCAGCGTCTGCATTTCCTAATCTCCCCCTTTGGGCCCTCCTCCCCGCTCACCCTCTGGGGCCTGGGCTGACCACAGCCGGCAGCAAAAGCCTGCTCCCAACCTGGCCCGTCTCCTCCTCCGAAGAAGCAGCCCTGGAGTGAGAAGGCCCTTGGCTTCCAAGACCCAGACATGGGAAGGTGCCCCAAGCTGGGACAGCACAGGTGACAAGACGGGTCTACAGTCTCCGCAGGCCACTGCCGAGGACTCCACGCTGGCAGAGGCTTCTCACACCAAACCAGCAACATCTCCCTGACTGGCTGACCCCCCAAAACATGGATTTGAACTGATTCGTGGGTTTTTTTCCCAGGAAATGCGTACAGCATTGTAAGTGTATTTTCTCTTTCTTATGATTTCCTTAGTAACGTTTTCTCTTTTTCAGCTTCCTCTATTGTAAAAAGACTATAATATATAACATACAAACTGTGTTAATGCATAAGGCTTCTAGTCATGGTGGACTATTAGTGGTTAAGTTCTGGGGGAGTCAGAGTTACATTTTGAACTGGGTTGGGGGTCAGGGCCCTCAACGCCCACGTTTCCAGGGGTCGACTGCATCAGACACAAACTCAGCCTCCGTCGGAGTGCCTGGGAAGGTGGCGGCCACCACTGGCGAAGCCAAACTGAGTCCAGCTGGTTCTGGCAACAGAGCCCAGACCTGGCCACACCCCTCAGTCGGGAAAAGCTGCTTTGGGGGAACTTGGAACCACGGGTGTGAAGCCCGGGGAAACCCTGAAGGAACTTTCTGCTCTTTTGTTCCGTTGTGATTAACCGCACAAGTGACCCACCATCGATGTGGGAGAAGCAGAGATGCAGACAAGCACAAAGAGAATACGAACCGCTCCTCTCCCACCACCCGGGTCCACGGCAGCCAATAACCTGCTCCGGGAGCTTCGAACCCCTGCCCCCGGGCGCTGCGGACTGACTCTGTGAGAGCATGGGCTCGTGGCCAGCCCAGCTCGGAGGCCCGTGGGCACACACTGCAGCGGCTCAGCTGCCGATGACGGTCACCTGCGTGAAAACTGGCCGGTGAGGACAGAGCTTCTGATTTCGAGGAGCAGCTGGAAAACCCGGTTTTTACATTGCGGAATCTCACAGGCCGGCTTGGCATGCGAGCCACAGATTTGCATACTCGGGTGTGTATCCACCCTGTCTTCCCCCGTCCCCACCAATAAATCCACATGTGTGTGAGGGTGTGCACGTGCGTGTGTGCATATTGGGCACCTTTAGGCACGTGTGACCAGTTCAGAGTGCCCCTTAACTGTCCACAAGGGAGAAGTCGTGTTTTGCACAATCCCATCCTACAGGACCGACTGGGGGGCCTTTCCTTGGGAATTAAGAACACGCGACAAGACAGACTCAGCGCCTTCTGGCTAGGCTTGCCACGCGGAGAGACGAAAATGGGGAGCAGCTACATTTCCCCCAGGGAACGGGGAACTGCGTGTCCTGCTTGGTGCTCCCAGCATTCCATTCCTCAGCTCTGGACACCCATGGAGGCCTGGCCGGTCCCCGAGACACTGCCGTCTCCTTAGCACCCACGGCCCCCCTGCCTGAGCGAGCTTCGGTGGGCCTCTGGCCGACGCAACCAGGGTCCCAAGTTATACAAGGCACAAAAAACAACCCGTAGATGAATATTTTACATAAATGAAGTGCTTCTAAATGACCTTCTGGGGTCATCCACTCTTGCCGCCACCCCACCCCACCAGTCTTGTCTGCGGAGGGGGGACAATACCTGTGTCGCTTATGTTTCTTGGAACTTTTCTTCTTCTTTTTCTTGACAGGTGATGGGCTATATGACGGGGACCTGCAGGGAGAGGGACACCCTTCAGAGAGAGGTTCTCAAAGGCCGGTGCTGGTTTCAAAAAGGCCCTCCACCAGCCCCGTGCCGGTCCTGGTGCTCTCGGTGGCACCCACAGGATAAGGCGCAGGCTGACGTGAGCCTGTACGTGTTTGAAATGTTAGACCCGAGTTCCAATCTTGACTCTGCCACCAAGTCACGAAGCCTCCTTGGGTGGTCACCGCTCTCTCTCATTTCCCGGCTGACGAGACACCCAGGTTGAATGAGATTAGGCGTGTCAAGCGCGGAGCCAGCACGGGGCTCTCAGCGTAGGCGGATGCGCCGGCCTGGGAGGAAGGCAGGAGCGGTGGAACCTGGGTCCACCAGGGGCACCTGACTGAAGGGGCGCCTCTCGGATCAGCGGAGGGTCCCTGGGCTTCCAGAAAACCCCCTTTTCAATAGAAGTCACCAGAGAAACAAGTTTCTTATGTGGCATCTCCTGGCCCTGATATGTTGGCCAGCAGTTAAAGAGACAAAAAGAAAAATAAACACTTCACACGTCAAACAAAACGTGTCTGCAGGGGGAAAGGTGGCGTTGAGAACGACCTGACTCTTAGGGAGTCACAGAGCCTGTCCCCAAACGCAAGCCCAGGGGACACTGACTGAATGAAAGAATGGGTTAGTGAAGCCTGATGCCTGTGGATTCCGTCTTTGATGTGTTCTCATGCCCGCCCCTAAGATCAGGAGGCTTAAGCCACTTGCGCCAATTCCAGTGCTCACCCTACAATGGCTGGGACTCAGGGTCTTCATCCACATTCCTGTTTGGGTCCTTTTAGAACTAGTCTAAAGGGGTGTCCTGGAAACGAGGTCCCAGAGAACCTGGAGGTGGGACCTGTCGTTCAGACTTTCCTCTCTGCTGCCCCCTACAGGCTTCTTCAAGTACTGCCTCCCCGGTTTGGTGTGTTTTTCCGCTGGCCCTTCTAAGGTCTCTGGCCACCACCCTGGGTCTGGAGCTCTGGCTGTCCTTGCAGGCCAATGAGTGGCAGCTTAGAAGAAAATCTGGAAATTCTTTTCAATATGATAAATTAAAGTAAATTGTACGTGGAAAAAAGTCATCGGGTGGAAAAAAGTCATAGGGTGCAAAAGAGTCAATAGCTGGCAAAATACGAAATCCATTGTCCTTGGCTTTAAACTCACTGGTGGGTGTGATGGAGCCAACTGAGGGGCTTGGAATCATGTCCCTGTGGTTTCTGTCATGCCCGCTCCGTGCCTTTCTTTTCCCATCTCTGAAATGGGGCAATAACCCTTGCCTGGTAGGCTGTGGTCAAGAGCAAGAGAGACCCTGGGGATCGCCCAGCCCTCCACACAGAGACAGTTCTCAGAAAAAACCAAACGAAGCCATGTTCAGGGTCAGGACTGTGGCTCCGATCAATCGGTCACTCACTACTATGTGTCAGACACTGTGAGACAGCTCCTTCCACACCCATTTTTTCACCAAACCCACTCCAAAGTCCGGAGAGGGAGGTATTACCACCATTGTGTAGAACTGGAAACAGAGAGGCGAAGTGCGCTGCCTAAGGCCACACAGCCAGTTAAGAGGCAGGGAGGGGCACCTAGCCCTAGGGGTCACTGTTTGACTCCGAAGCCCTTTTTACCCCCGTTCTGCCCCTTCCCCCCATTTTCAGGGTCTCACCAGCCTGTGGGGCCCTCACCTCCTTCTCTTCTTCCTGGCGGATTTCTTCTTTTTCTTCTTCCCCCTGGAGGAAGGCGGTGGCGTCAACTTCTTGTCTCGGGAGGCACTGTGGAGAGCACCGAGTGTGGCGTTAGAGGGCTCAGGGTCCCCAGGCCCCGGTCGGGGCTGCTGTGACCAGGGAAGAGGGACCCAGCGCCTTGGCAGATGACGCGCCCACAGTGAATTACCACCCCATGGCTGGTCCAGTCACACTTCAGACTAAGTGTCCTAAATCAGGAGTTAACGCCGACCTAATGAGACAGACGCGCGATGTCACCCAAACACCAATTGATTATTTAAAACAGAATTACAGAGGTTAACTGCTCCTTAATAGATTTATTATTGAATTTGCAAGTGGTTGACCTTGATAAATAAATCACTTTTTAAATAATTAATCGGCAGTTCAGCCCCGTCCCTCCTCAATACATCTTGTCTGTAGTTCCTGCCGGAAATTTAATAGGAGGCAGATATGTTAAGGAGCAGCTGATTATTAAAAGTATATTTGCCGAGGTCTAATGTAATGAGATACATATCTTATATCGCTTCACAGAACCTCAGAAACCTCTGCTCTTCAGGAATAATTATTTCCCATTCAATTAAATTCAAATGCTCAGGCTGCAGCTAAATGAAGTCAAGTTATCTCCGTTTATAATTGGGGCAGGCTCCAGGGATTTTTTTATTTTAAACACTACCCCATGGCAAAAGGAGATGGTTTGGGATGAAAAACTGCTTGGAAATTGAAATGTGCCGACCTAGTTGGACCACAGTGGGAAAATGGAATATTAATAATATTATTGTCATGATTAGCAATGACACAACTACCGTTTATTCACTTACTACGCGCCCTGTATTTTACATACTTGGATACTCACAAAACTCTTTGGGGGTGGGCCGGCTTTTACTGCCTGGTTTTACAGGTGAAGGAAATAAGGCTCCGAAAGCCGACTGGGCTTGCCCGGGGCTGCACAGTGAGGAGAGGCTGGGGGAGCTGGGAGCAGAGGCAGGGCGGGTGCGGCCCTGCCCCGGGAGCTCTCCCCCCAGACCCGCCGCCTTCTCGGACCTGTTTCTGCACCTGCGCTCTGGAAACGACCGGGAACTCTTCACAGAACACCACAAAATGCTGCCGTATTTAATTCCATCCCGAGAACTGGGATCATTTCGGTTAGTAGAAAAAAAATGCTGCAATGGTCACGGCACGTGCTAAGGTCTCTGCGTTGCCAGTATAAAAATCATACGGCTACTGATATATGGAGAACGTTTTCAGGAGCGTCGCTGTTGGCAGAGTGAACACAAACAGCGTAGGGAGTAGGCACGTGGCTCCTCAGCTACGCTGGCGTGTTACAAAGCACAGGGGACCCCACACGTGTCCAGGAAGCACAACGGCTGCCTGTGTACATGTGGGAGGCTACGTCCAGGTTTTCCCCTCAACGACACAGGGCAGGAGCCTGACTTGTGGACATTTGGTGAGCGACCGGATGAGGGATGCAGCAATTTAGCCACTGGTTAAATCATCTTGTTCCATATAAACACTTCCCAGGGAAACAGCTGCCAGGAATTGGAGAGAAAGGGAAACCTGAACCATTTAAAGTTAAGGGAGGCATACTTAGGAAAAAAAAAACTTTTAAAAGTGTGTTGTTTGAAACAGAAGGATCTCCTTGTTTCGGTGAATTACTCTGCCTCAGTAACCCAAAAACTCCAGGTTCGAAGGAGAGAATTTGGACCAGATCAAGGGTCCTCAGGCTAATCTAGGCCCTGATACCAATGGACCTCGGTTTTCCCATCTGTAAAATGGCTTTGACGCCCTCTGATTGAACAGGAGGCCAAGGCTGTATCTGGGGCGTGCTGCTGCCGAGGACAGTAGGTTTATTTTCAATCTGTCACTGGGGTGGAGGTGCGGGGGGCAGATTCAGGCCCAGGGCAGCGAGACAGTGGTGAGTTTGAGAAGAAAGAGTGATGCCTTCAGCCGGCTGCTGACGCCAGATTACACGACCCTGTGGTAAGCAAATTCACTTCTCTGGGGGCCAAAGATGGGCCAGACTTAATATGTGTGCAGCCTGAAATTTTTAAACAAATGGCAGTGACAGGTTGGCTTTTTCACTAACATCAACATATGATGTGGTAGGTTTAAGTCTAGGATATAAGACCAGAGAGACTAAAGTTCAAAACTTCACTTGGTGTAAGAAAAGCATAGGGAATATAGTCAGTAACATTGTGATAACTGTGTATGGTCCCAGGTGGGGTACTGCAAATATCAGGGGGAGCACTTTTTAAAGTGTATGATTGTCCAACCACTGTACCGTACACCCGAAACTAATCCAGAATAATAGGGAAAGGAAAAAAACTATAACCGCTAACTGGTGCCTAAAGTCAAACAAACAAACAAATAAACAAAACACCTCACCCTGCCCCTGACCGGCTGCCAGATCCGGGGAAGCACCTTACTTCTCTGAGTCTCAGGAAGATGCTGTGTTCTCGTAGGGCAGCTGCACCCTGACTGTCACGTAGTAGGTGCTCACGAAATACAGGGTGAATGACTGAATTCAGGAATGCGTGCAAAGACCTGGGACTCAGGGAACAGATCCGGTCTGAAGTCATGACTCTGGAGTCCGTGGCGCAGGGGTCATTAGCACGGACAGAACCTACCTCTGGCTTTCAAAGTTCCTGGGCCAAACCAGGCCCATCTCCCTGTTGTGTAAACGAGGTGTGACCGACACACAGCTACGCCCACTTGGTCACATACTGTCTGGTGCTGCTCTGTGCTGCAGAGCAAGGCTGAGTAGGTGTGGCGGAGACCACAAACCTAATGCACATTCCATCTAATCGTCCACAGAAAAAAAGTTTGGTGATCCCTGATCTAAGAGTCTAAAAGAAGACCTTGTAAAGAGAGAGGGGCAGATTGGCCAGAGAGACAAACTTCACCTCTGCCTCCTCAACTCGAACTTTCTGGCTGTGGGTAGCACCTCACCTGCGTGCTCTGGCGGGACTGAGCTCCTGGCAGGCCTTGTCTCTCTCCCAGCTGTTGGTGCCCAAGGCCTCAGTGGCTAGATGCTGGCTCAGCTTTTCCGAGGGTCCGTCCTGAACCGGAACCATGGGGCTGCTCTGGGCTTCTGTCCTGCATGGGCAGAAATGAGGAAGTGAAAGTGTTAGGGTATGAGAGACTCTCGATGTTCATCAAACCTTCGCAGACATCCTGACATTTCCCAGCTCCCCTGTGACTGGGTTAGGGCCATGAGAATATCTTTGGCCAACACGTCTCTGATTAGGGTGACATGCATCATTTCCAGTGTGACCCTTCTCTAGCTCCTCCTCTGTCACAGGGACAGCGGAGGCTACGTATTCTGAAGGGCAACGCTAAGATCTGGAAAGCGAAGATCTGTGCTCACGTGAGGCAGGGGTGCCTGAACCTGCTCGGAGTTTGTGTAACAGAAACAAGCCTTAGTGAGGTTAAGCCACCGAGACTGAGTTTGTTTGTACTGCAGCCCAGCCTACCCTATCCTGACTAACTCCCAGGGAGAGGCTGGAAATGGGCATCTCATTACCCACCTTGAGACATAACCAGAGGCCAAAGCATGATGGGATTAGTTGCAACTCCTCTTTGCCATTTTGACTCCATTTTTCTACCTTCTATGTGTATGGAACAGAGATACCTGAATTCAAATACCATTTTCACCCTTCGGTGGCTACAGGAACTGGGGCCGGACACTCAGCCTCTCTCGGTCACGGTTTTCTCAGTTACAAAACAGGGAATACTATCGGCCCTTATACTGCTGATTTGTTGTAAGATAAAATAAGCAAACAGAAGACCTAAGGAGTGTAGCTCCCCTTCCCCTCATTCCCTGTGAACCAAAACCTCGTTTGGCGTCTGCAGCAGGTATGAGGCCGCCTGCTTGAGACACACGCAGTTCCCACGAAGGCCCAGTTCCCTCTTGTGCCTCTAAGAGGATCTCCGACAACACAGGGAAATTACCTGAGTGCCCCCGATCCCACCCCTGACCTTCTTTGAGTCCCAAAGAGGGAAAAGAAGTCGCCTAGTTACTCCGTCTTTGAAGAGCCTGTCACTCAAATCCGCTGGCTCCCAAGTCAGGACCCTGAGAGGCACAGGGGGGTCTGGCCCTGACCGGCCCGTGCCCCTCCCTGCTCACCCCGCCTGCAGATCAGGGTCCAGCATCGATCAGAAACGTCTGCGTTTCTCTGGCGCCAGGCTCCTGCAGCCAGCGAGCACATCAGGGTTGGTTTTATGACTCAGGATGAACGCATCTGATAAGCCCCCGCTTCTCCCAGCTGCCAGGAGAGCAGGCCACGCCCGGTCCATATTGGAGGAAAGACAGCACAACACATCTGTCTCTGTCAGCTGCTGATGGTGCCCCCCTGGGAGTCGAGCTAGGAGGCCCCGCAAGCCCAGGAGCAATGAACTCTCTCATCCGGGTTTCCCAGCCCTGCTCGCTGCCAAACCTACGCTTCCAGAACTCCCCTCCAGCCAGCTCAGCTTCAGCGTTCCCCACACCTCCCCGCCCGCCTCCCACTACCAGGGTCCCACTTCCACGCAATGGCCCAGGCCCATCTATCCCTGTGGGTGCAGTGCTGGCCCTTCTCAGACAAAGCAAGGCTGCCCGTTGCTGCCCCGCCCCCCCGCGAGGCTGCCCTCCCGTGCTCCTCCCGGCCTCAGCTAACCTGCGCTCACCAATGCACTCCAATGCCCGAGGGCCTGTAGTGCGTCTGGGCCAGCTCTAAGTGTGGGGTGCCGTGAGCAAGACGGAGCTATCCCCTGTGACTACAGAGTGGGGAGCTAGTAATACAGACATAAGCAAGTCATAATAAGGCTTACTGGATGGCAATAAATGGTGCAGAGAATAAATCAGAGTGATGGGACTAGGAAAAGGGGCGGTGGCTGTGTACAGAATTGGGGAGACCTTTCTGAGGAAGTAACAGTGGAGTGGAGACCTGAGGGCTTGGGGACGAACCCTGGAGTTTGTGATGGTTTTAAAATGTGTTCACGGATTCTTCAACACTCCTGCCATTAAAAGACGGCGTCTCATTGCCTCCCCCTGAGCGTTGGACGGGCTTAGTGACTCACTTGTAATGAACACAATGAATTATGGAGAATGGAATAAAGTAGGAGAAGTGATAATGGGGGACCTCCAAGAGTGGGTCACAAGGCAGCTTCCGCCCCACGCTGTCGAATGGACCACCCCAAGGGAAGCTGGCTGTGCGGAGGGGCCCAGTGAGGAGCCGAGCTGAGGCCCCCTGCCGACAGCCAGCGCCAGCCGGCCGTGTGAGTGGGCCACCTCGGGAGTGGATCCAGCCCCAGTCAAGCCTTCAGGTGAGACTGCAGCCCTGGCCGTCATCTGACTGCAATCGCAGAAGAGAGGGTGAGCAGTCACCAGGCCCAATTCCTGAATCGCAGTTGTTTTAAGCCACAAAGATTGGGGTAACTTGTTGCATTTCTCAGGCACCTCCTCCTCCAGCCAGTGCATCGAGACTGCTTTTATGGCGCAGGATGAAGGCCTCTGATAAGCCCCCTGCTCCTCGGGGCTGCCAGGACAGCAGGCCATGCCCACTCACTGTTGAAGGGACAAAACACATTCACCTAATCCTAGGCGGAAGGAACAGCAAGGTGGAAGACTGTGAGCCTACACAAGGAACAACAATCAGGGGTGAGAGTGACGAGAAGGGGGATCAGAGCCTAGGTCTTTGTAGGTCAAGGGAAGAGCTCTGGGTCCTCTGTGACTGGGACGGGAAGCCTCCTGAGCAGAAGAGTGGTTGGTCCGGCTTGCATTTCAGAAGGGTTACTTCACCAGCTGAAGATATGAGACAATAGGGGGTGAAGGGCGGAGACGAGGAGACGGCACAGTGGGCTGTGATGGAGGCGGTGGGTCGGGTGCTGGTATACTTAGAGGGTAGAACCTGCGTCCTTTATGCTGGTTCAGTGCAGGATGCAAGAGACTAAGAGCGGGGGGTGGGGGGGGAATGGGTCACGGCAGACCCTGAGGTACTGGGCCTGAGCCACGGGCCAAGTGGGGTCACCGCCGCTGAGGTCTGGAGATGGTGACCCAGGGAGCAGACTCCAGGGGAGATCTAACCGCTTCCCTGGGACGTGACGGGCCGTTTGCCACCCTCACCCCGGCTCTTGCTCACCTGCGTTGTTACTGTTTACCGCCTTCTCTCACGCTAAACTGTGAGACTTCCAGCCCCTGTGCCTGCTGCTTAGGAAACACTCAGCAACATTTGTTCAATGAATAAATGAGAGCGCGCGTGTACTGGCTTGGGAGAACATTTGTTTCAGAACGCTAGACAGGGCTTTTGAGATGCTTTGAGCTAATCCCTTTATGTTGCTGTTGGTGGAAGTAAACGAGCCCAGGCCCCACTACTCGACGGCTCCATCAACCCCCTTTCTAGTCCACCCGCCCCCTCTTAGGGAAGTGATCAGCGAGTATCTATGTGTGTGTGCGGCTCGGCAGAGCATGGGGCTGTTCACACACGAGAATGGCATCTCTGACTCTCTGGGGCACTGCACGGAGCCAGAGGCGACCCTGCGACAGGCACACACTGCATGCTGCTGTGAGGAACTTGGCAATGGATAAATACACAGCGAGTAGTCCTGGCCTTGGGCGGAAGGGCTCAGTGGTGACTGGTGCTCACGGAGGGAGGAGTGACAGGGGCTACCTGCAGGTCGGAGGTGGCAGATGCTACTGCCAGGCGCTGGGCACAGGGCTGGGCTGAAGACGACGGCTCACCCACCACTGCCTTCAGCAGGGCACAGCACCAGGAGCAGGGAGGTGCGGCAATGCTTTAATGAGGACGGGAATGATGGAGTCGCAGCGACTTATAACGTGACCCCCCTGAGGTGGACACTGTCCTTTTTGCCAGTAGCACTGGCTTCACCTTCCCAGCGTGGCGTCCCCACCTGAGATTATAAAACCAACCGGAAGGTAATTCACTCTACCAGGCAGGGAGTGGTGGGGGACAGAAGAAAGGGCTCCTCCGTAATATAACATTTGCAACCTTCAGGATGTTGCAGTACTTTGCTTCTCCGCTTTCTTAAAACTGAAAGAAACCCAGGGAGCATGTATAGTCTGGGGTTTTCCAAAGCTGGCCTCTAAGGGGCTTTGAAAAATAGAGATTCCTAGTTCCCACCTTAACTGTAATGAATAAATCAGAGTCTCAAAGGGGTAAAACATGGAGTTTGCATCTTAAAGAAACATCCAGTAATTCTGCCTCCTATTGGATACTGAATAAAATTCAAACTGATTACAGGGACTAAAAGGCTCTGCTACAGACCCCACTTCCTACCCCTCTCCCTTACTCTGCTCTAGCCATGGGGCCCCCTTGCTGCTCCTCAAATGGAACCGGGTCTTTACTCAGGGCCATCGTCCCTTCTGTTCCCTCCACCCGGCATGCTGTTCCTCCAGTGCTTCTCATGGCTGGCTCCTTCCTTTCATTCCAATGCCCCCTTCTGAGAGCCTCTTTGACCCCTTATGAAATCACGCTTCTTTTTACCGGCGCCATCACAACAGCTTGCTGTGGCTTCCTTCAGAGCACTTGTTACCATTTGAAATGACTGTCTTATATGTTTACTTTCTAAGTGCTGGTCTTCTGGACTAGCAGGTAAGCTTCAGAAGAGTGGGAACTAGTTTCTGCTTTCACCACTGAATTCCTGGAGGTATAGTGCCTGACAGAGGGTGCCTTTTTTGCTCAATAACCATTTGTTGAATGAATGAATGAATTCTGATGACCGATCCAGCATGAAAACCCTGAGTCAGATTCAACGTCTCCTTACATATAAGGAAGTGGAGTTCCAGGGAGAAGGACCAATGGGTGTTCGGCCCCTTTCACAGCCCCACCCATCTCCCTTCCCGGCCTCCAGGTCAGCACCCTTGCAATGTTTTTAAGAAAAACTCCATGTTCCATCTTTGCTGAGCAGAATGGGCATCTGCCCCAATTATCACCACACAGCCCTTCAAAGTTGCATTAAAAAATACACTTAAAAGAAGGCAGGATCTTAGGGGATGGCTGAAACCGTGAAATCAAGAGCACGCATGCACCACTTCACAGAGGGAGGGAGCTGTGAGTGCTGAATTCCACAGGGCCTCCCCACTCAGCTCCTGCTAATCA